TATAATCTATTTTTTCAACAATAAATTATGACCATTTCCTATTCTAATCCATGTTCTTTTATAACGTGTTTTATGGCTGCAAAGCACAACGTGAATGAAACATTATGTAATCTATATTATCAAAGATTTGGTTTGGGGTATTCCACTATAGTTAAACAGAATTGCGTTGTCAATGACATGGAAAAAATATAAGACTTCTGATAAATATCCTGAAAAAAGGAAGTACAAATTTAGAACTTCCCTATCAACTTACAGCAGTTTCTTTTTCCTGGCCTTTTCGCCAGTAATAGATATTATCATTAATAAAAATCTTGCAGACAATGAAATGATAACTTATTGTGATAAACTATTTTCTTGGATGACCACTGGCATTTATATTTTTCTTTTGTTTAGTTATTTGTAGTTTTCATGTGAATTTCTGATTTATGTTCTTTCACCATTTTTCTTTGTGGTATATTTTATTTCTTTATGATTCATAGAAGTTCTTTATAATTTAAGGTTCACAATTGTCGGTCATATGTGTTGCACATTTCTTTGAGTTTATCGTTCATTCATTTATTCGACAGCTGCTATTTCAGGCACAGGGATAATATGGAAAATACAACGTGGTACGAGTTGGAGGTCCCAGCCCTCATGGAAGCCCCAGCTGGACAAAGAAGAAAAATGGAAAACCAAACACATGTAATTGAGTAGCCTTGTACTAGGAGAAAAGCAAGGACTGTGCCAGGGATATTGAAAGGAAGAGTCAGGAGCAGGAAACAGCATATGCCAAGGCCCTGAGGTAGGAAGCAGCTTGCCATATTTGAGAAACAGAGAGAAGTTCAGCATTCCTGGAAAACCAAGTGTACACTGAATAGAAATGAAGTTAAAAGGTAGGAAGGAGCTAAATCATGCACAGCCTAGTAAGTCAAGGATTTGGACCCTATCCTAAGAGCAAAGAGAAGCAAAGGGTCTAGGCAGAAACATGCAGAGGTAAGCATGGCATTTTAGAAGGCTTACTTAACATTGATAAGTGGGTGAACAAAAATCAGTATTATAGACAGCGAAATGGTTTGAAGGCTATTGATGAATGCAGGTGATTTGAGCAGGGGCAGAAGAGGGGTAGATAATTTCCAAAGATATTTACATGCTGGAATCTGTAAGGCTTAGTGATTGTTTGATGGGAGACGTAAATGGCTCAAGAAAGAGCCTGGGTTTTCTGACATACTTAACTTGTTTAACTGTGCCACTCCTGCCAGGAGGGTCTCAGGAGGGGCAGCCATGAGGCAGGGAGAGGGCAGTTTTGTATTAGTTAGGGCTGTTTGGTGTGCATTAGTTAGGGCTGTTTTGATTGCAAGTTAAAAAGCCAAGGCTTAAAATGCAAGTGCCTGCTGATATAAATATCTAAAGACATTCATCTAATTTGTTTTGTAATAGTGGGCATTGAAAATAGCCTAATTTTGAAGCTTGTTCCTTCTTTTGTATATGTATTTTTTAGAATAAACATTCATTACTTTTGAAAATAATATTTTAAATATTTTTAACACCTCAATAAAGACCCTTTTGAGCAAGCGGTCAAGCGAGCCTTT